GAAGAACTGTTAAAAAGCTAGAGCAGTATACGGATTATCACTAACCTATGATCAGTTGATCAGCTAAACATTCATAAAGGACTTCAAACTAAAGGTGATTCCAAAAAACAACGTAGTTTCCACTAAGATCTTTTTCCATTGCAAATTTGCGCATCTTAGATTCGAGAGCCCCAGAAGTTCCTCTCGCGTCTGTCACATTGAAAACAAAATAAATTGTTTCATACTCTTTTACGAGAACAGTTTAGAGAAAGAGGTCAGGACTATTAAATTTGTCTTGTTATACTCATAGCGACAGGAAATCCTCCATTACCTTTTCATTTCCTATATTTTCAATGGAAACTAACTTTAACTTCGAGACTCACCTTGTAATTCCAAATCAGGTTGTAGGCTATCAGATCTTGACTGAATCTGTAAAAAATATCCGTTTAAATACCATTGCTTTTTCATCTTTCAAACGACTAGAACATTTTCCATTTTCTTAATATGAACACTTAATTGTAATAAAACAACTGGATTTAGATTCTCACATCTTTCCTGGATTTGAATTCTATTTTTGTCCTTCAATGCGAGAGATATCCTTCAAGTGTATTCCTTGTTGTTCCTCTCGCTTTTCCAGAGCTCTAACAGACAAGTATAGCACGTGAAATAACAGGCTTATATGTACATACAAGCATGCATTATGAAATTTTGGAACACGAAAGTTGCTTTAAAACGTATTCTGCAAGCTTTACATTGTCACGACTTGATAAATGATCTTTTTTAGTTTCTGGTGGCTGAAGAAAAGATAAAAACTTTCCAACAAAATTGTTTCTTTACAAAAAGCTTTTACATTTCTGAATGAATTACTATTTAATTATTTCGTCAGTGGGGCAGTTGGCACAGTTTAAGGATGAATGATGGAGTTTAGTTACCAAAGCAGTTGATACAACTTAGTCAATATTATGATTGGTTAGTCAGAATCACTGCAATGGGTTTATGTAAATAATGGCCCTCGCAAGACATTCCATCAACTGTTTCTGGCTTGAATTTGAAGTGTGCATAATACCTCTCGAAATTAAGACCCCTTAAAACCTCTTAAATATCAACTGAACTAATATGTACATTCATCACTGCTAAAAAAATGCAGAACGTTATAAATTATGTTTGTCAAAAGCAGAAAATTCTCAATGGAAGAATGAATGAATAAAACGTACCTCGATTATCGCCTTCAGAACCATGCCAGCACCTTTCACAATTGTTGTCGACGGATGCTGAAATTGTTGAGGAACGAATTCAAAACCACGATTAGTAAGAACCATTAGCGGGGCAATAGTAAAACATACATAAGCGAAGAAATGGTACAATTGGTACTATTTATTGCAGTTTTATCGTAAATCTACCTGAAACAATCGATAAATGCAATGACCCATTTCTAGACAAACAAATAACAGACTTCATTAGTTGCTCCCATGCATGGGTCAAGCTAGTGGACGTGGTAAACTTCACCAAAAATGTAAAGAGAGAAAGGCAATTTAATCAACTCTCAACGTCAGTCAATGAGCCATAAACTGCCAAGAAGACAAGTTGAATAAAAAGCTCCTCAAATGTTTTGTAGCATACCTGCAACTTTCTCCAGTAATTTCAAACTGTTCATCGTCTGTTGTCTCACTAAGAGGAATATGCAATAGTCGATTTATTATAACAGACTACATGAGTTGACTCAAAATATTAGAAGCAATCATACCTTACTATTAGTTTAACATGAATGTCCAACTTCACGCCCGTATTATTTTGATATATTGCAAAGCAACCAGAACTTTACTTGTAAGGAGGACACAGAACAAACGTCAGAAAATCAAGCAATCCACTTATACCTAAAACCCCTGTGGGACGATTCTACAGGGTGTATCAAAAAAAGGAGACAATTTTGAAATGTTTAGAAAACTATCAATTTATCAAAATATCTTATAGATTTGTGCTAGTCTGGGTACTTTGGTATCCTCAGGTCATTCTAACACTAAACACAAACAGAAAGATTAACCTAGAAGAATGGAAGAGCGGTTTGTGGAAGCATCATTTTGAATGGCTTGTGCAAACATGAATGAGAGGTTTAAAATCCAATTTGAATTCAAGGGCTGAACGTTTGGGTAATTGTTTACAAAGAATCGAAATTTCAGAAATTTCAGAAACCAGTCATACGTGAAACAGCAGAAAGTACCAAAACCCAAATTGTGTATGATGCTTCGGCACGTCCAAATGAGAGAACTCCTTCGTTAAATGAGTGCTTAGAGCCAGGCCCAGCACTACAAAACCAATTATGGAGTATTCTCGTGAGGAATCGATTCCACCCGGTAGCTCTATCCGGCGACATCAAGCAGGCCTTTTTGCAAGTCCGAATAAGGACAGATGATCGCGATGCGTTACGCTTTCATTGGCTGAAAGACTTGACAACAAGAGAAGTGGAAACATTGAGATTCACAAGAGCATTATTCGGCCTTTCCACGTCTCCATTCTTATTGGGGGGAGTCATCGAGCAGCACCTCCAGAACATGCAATCAGTCTTTCCGAATGAAGTCGACGAAATACGACGCAGCCTTTATGTGGACGACCTCATATCGGGAGGGGCTTGAGGAGACCGAGAATCTGAAGAAATCGTGTGTGACCATCTTCACTGAAGAGAAATTTGAACTACACAAGTGGCATTCAAATAATCCGAAGCTTGAATTGGAACCAGAGCCCTTTGAAGAAGTTGAAACGAGCTATGCGAAAGAGCAAATAGGAGTAAAAGCTGGAGAAACAAAGTTGCTTGGCGTGCCTTGGGATAAGAAGACGGACAGTATCAAGGTGAACTTTCCAGAGCCGTTGAAGGAAATCACGAAACGAAATGTCCTCGGTAACATCGCCAAGATATATGACCCATTGGGAATTGTATCACCCACAACATTACAAGGAAAATTGATCTATAGAGAAATCTGTGACGAACGGATGTCTTGGGACAAAGAATTAAACCCGGAATTGCTCGCCAAATGGATTTCATGGGAACTAAACCGACCAAAAGAAGTTGAAATAGCGAGGAGTCTTGTTAGATATCAGGAGGAAATCGATGCAATTGATCTACATGCCTTCGGCGATGCTAGTGGTAAAGGAGTGTCATCAGTCGTCTATGCCGTCACAAGGCAGCGTCGTGGCGTCGAAGTCAAGACTCGCAAAAAGGGGTTTAACCATCCCAAGACTGGAACTCATCGCGGGACATATGTCAGCAAACTTGCTCCACAACGCAAGGGAAGCATTGATGGGTTTTCCAATCCGAAATACGTTCAGTTGGCTAGATAGCACAGTGGCCCTCCACTGAATTCAGGGAAACGGCGAGTACAAACAATTTGTCAGTCATCGCGTTCATAAGATCCAGGAAAGGGACTATATACAGTAGAGGTATGTCAGTTCAACTGAAAATCCAGTGGACCTCGGAAGCCGGGGAGGCAAGGTTGACATGTTATCTGAGACGTGGCTCAAGGGACCATCGTGGTTAATAGACGAAAACGAGTGGCCTCAAGACATAATAACCAGCCCAAGCAAAGAATCGCTAGCCGAAGCTAAAGTTATCAAGGAAGTCCTAGCTGTTGCAGTGGAATTGGAGCAAGATGATCTGGATAAGCTTATTGAAAAATGGGATCTTTGGAAGACCGTTCGAATCACAGCGTGGATTACGAGATTTACCAGAAATTGTCGGATGAAACAAAAGGTAACCGGCCCCCTGACTAAAGAAGACATAAACGAACAGCTCGAGTTCTGGATTGGAAGAGCACAGTCGCGACATGAAGGAAAGGAAAAATTCGAAGAGGACAAGCTCCAACTAAATCTTCAATTAAACGAACGAGGTATCTATGAATGCAGAGGAAGAGTGCAAGGAGACAATCCTATTTATTCCTGAAGAAGACGTAGTTGCCGAGAAATTAGTTCTGCATGCACACTCGCAGACCCTACATGGGGGAGCCTTACTGACAATGACTAAATTCAGGGAAAAGTATTGGATACTGCGATTGAGGCGACTGACGAAACTGCTGATACGCAAGTGCCACGGGTGTAAAAGATTCCAGGTTAAGGCGTACGCAGATCCTCCGACAGCTAACTTGCCTCTCGAAAGAACCACCGGTTCAACACCATTCCAAGTCATCGGAGTTGACTTTGCGGGACCAATCAGATATTTAAGTAAAGCAAAGAAAGAGAAGAAGGCTTATGTAGCGTTGTATGCTTGTAGTTTAACCAGGGCAGTTTATCTCGACCTATTGCCAAATCAAAGTACAGATGAGTTTTTTCTCAGTTTGAAGCGATTTATCGCAAGGAAGGGACGTCCAGAAAAGGTATTTTCGGACAATGGCAAAACCTTTTTAGCTACTGCAAAATGGCTACGAAGGGTTCAAAAGGATGAGAAATTCAACAGTTGGTTAACAAAACAAGATATCAAGTGGAAGTTCAACTTAAGCTGCGCCCCTTGGTGGGGCGAACAATTCGAGCGATTAGTCGGCGTAATGAAACAAGCACTCTACAAATCAATCGGACAAGGAAACCTACGCTGGAAAGAGTTAGAAGAAGTACTGCTCGACGTCGAAACCACAATCAACAACCGACCGCTGACATACGTAGAGGATGACGTTCAGATGCAGATATTAACTCCAAATTCCATGCAGTTCGTGCAGCAAATCCAACTGCCTGAAGAAGAACCTGATCAAGGGGAAAATGTTGAACTTCGAAAACGTGCAAGGTATTTGAGAAGATGCAAAGATGTCGTTTGGGCCAGATGGACAAACGAATACCTAAAATCACTACAAGAAAGACACAAACTCAAGCATAAGACGAAGCAGATGACGGCGAAGCCAGGTGACGTGGTTTTAATAAAAGGCGACGAACGAAACCGAGGGAAGTGGACAATTGTATATATATATATATATATATATATATATATTAATATATATATCAACACACCAGTAAGTTATCAAGAAACTTGAAAACAATAATAGTACCTCTAACGTCACTGGAACCTTTCGTTCACTCCAATGTAATTTATAACCACTAATCTTCTGCACAAAAATATGGCATATGTTGATGTGGAAATAATTTGGAAACATTAGCTTTAGCTAGCTTATCACTTTATAAAGAACCCGCTTATTAAATTAGAAATGGAATATGGGCCTAATTTTTGAAAGAGAGAGGGGAAGGCATTGATACCATGATGAATTACGATTTGGAATTCATTGTGAATAATTTCTTTTATACAACTGGAACGATAAGTCCTGACAAAAATCCCTATTTACCTTGAAGTTAAAATAGTTCCCCGTACTAATCCTAATGCAGCCTCTTTGATGTCTTTCTACGCTGTTTCATCCTGAGGCTGCAGCAACAAAGAAAATTTACAGTGATTAGAGGTAATTATATGTCTCTAGATGTTCCTACAAATACCTTGCAGTCTCTATAATTACCTTACATGTTCTTTACACGACGGCTTAACGTATCGCTTGAGAGGATCTACTGAACAGTGGCAATCTGGAATTGATAAATGAAATATTTATCCTTTTACTTCACTGATGCGTTTGCATTCACGACTCCCGTGTAAAACGATCCAATTTACGGGTATATAGTTGGGTTCAAGTCAGGAAGCTTTCACTGATAAGAGAGAGTTTTCTATTGAAGTACAGTATCAGCTCAACACGAATGAAGGGGCAATTTGGAGTGGAGAAATGAAACCGTCTGAAAAGGATTATATTGAGTACCTTCTCGATTATATGCAAAACATCGCAAACTTTCGGTGAATCAGAGGATTCAATAACATCGACCAGAAGCTGGACAGCTCGGATCTGCACAAAAATATCCCGATCTTTCGCAATGTGGTCTAAATGTGGCAACACTGAATTCTCAAGTATTCCTCCCTGTAAAAAACAAAAAGTTACAAAACTAGAAAAAGATTCATAATATCGATAATGTCTAGAAAAATTGACTAAAATTTATTCAAAGTGCCAACATTTTATACCTCATATAGTGGAGATAACGTTCCTAATATGTTACAAAGCACATTTAGTACTTTAATTCGGATGGCTGTCCTCTCTTCACATCTAAAAAAAATTCCCATTAGGATAAGGCTGAGGCTACATAGAAATACATCACGAACTTAAACAAAAATCAAAATACCAAAATATTACATTATTACAAAATTTTGTCCTCAAAGAAAGTCATAAAATATTTAGCTAGATTCTGATCAAATTGGCACACAGGATATTGAGAATCAGGGGTATGATGTAGAAACTTTCCAACGGTTTTAAATAATTGCCTTTGGTCACTCCTATTATCTCTAACAATTTCAGAATAGTAACGAGTACGACTTTCCGATAATAGCTCACTGACACGGCGACATGGTTGACTGTGTTTTAGACGATCACAGGATTGTCCTGACTTACGCCATACCCGCTCGAGTTTCCTTCTGATACGTTTTTCGTTTTTAATTTGTTCAGTGTACCAAGGTGCAGCTGGACGGCTAATTATCTCCCTGGTGATAAGTGGTGCATGATGATCCAGAATTCTGGAAAGCTCCGAGTTGTATTGGTTGACTTTCGCACAAATATCAGCCGTGTTCCCAGTGATAATCGGAGATAGCCTAATGTCATTAAAGAATGAGTCCATATTGACTCCACGACCCTTCTCTGAAACAATGTTTTATTAAAATTGAGTTCACATGTAACCGTGTAATGGTCAGATATAGATGGATCATGAACGTCAATAGATTGAACAATATTTTCCTCATGGCGAGACAAGATAAAGTCTAACGTGTGACCAGCAATGTGTGTTGGTTGTTGTACATGTTGTTTCAGATTAAAAGAATCAACAAGATTGAGAATTTTTTTGTTGTTAATTCCGACTTATCGTCTACATGGAGGTCGATATAATACGATTATATTTAGAATTTGAGATAACACATTGATTTGCATACCCATCAGTTCGAAAGACTTAATGTGTGTGAACATGTTCGCCGAGTCCAGCTTGACTTTTAAAGTGTTGTTGTATAATATACCAATGCCTCCCCATCTACCTTGTTGTCTCGAGATATGTTTAAAGAGTAGCCCTTCGGGGTGAAATTCCCAATAGATATAAGATCAAATTTGTCAGGGTGAAGCCAGGTTTTTGTAATCGCAAATATATCAAATTCATTCTCAAACACATAGTCTTTGACTAAATTGGCTTTGTTTCGAATAAACCGGCAGTTGAGAAGACCAAAAGAACAAAGCTGAGTAACAGCTGTATCAGGAGTGTTGGCAATGCTAAATAAAGGAATATTGATGAGATTGTTTCATTTAATTAATATCATTTCTGCCATATATGTTTACAGGCTGATGATTTGCATGATGATAGTGATTGCATGTATAGTGTCGCGGAGGTGTTTGCCAAGTAGGTATTATAGAAAATATTCCTATAGGTCATATGGAACAACCAACCTTTCTGTAGATTCAACTGCCCAAGCATTGAACTAAGCTCCTCAGGGTTATTAGCGGGTCGAAACGTGTTCATCAAACGTGACTGCTTTCGATGTTGAGACATCTTATCCGACTGATTATTATCAAAAGATTGAGGAACAGGATTAGACGAAACATCCACACACATTGTTAGATCCTGCTTAAAAGGCTTCGCACATAGGACTAGACTAACAAATCCATGTTTCGGTTCTTTAGCCATCGCAAATCAGACTTTGTATTTAGATTCAAAACCAACTCGTTGTATGTTGACCCGACATCGAAAAGCAATATCTCTACAAATACTCAAGGTTATGCCATCCGCAGCCAATCCGTCCAAATCCATGCAATTAGTATTCTTAAATGCCATATTAATTGGTCGAGATGTACGAAACTCGTTAGATAAAATAAATATCATAAAAAAATATATAGAGTTACCGACCAACCGCCATATTGATCGTGAATTAAGCAATATGGAAACACAATATTCATTTCCATACACGAAAAGGTGGTGATTCAATGATAACATCACGTTATCAGCTTTAGATATTTTCTTTAAAAACTTGCTTAACGAATCGGATAGAAGCAAACGGGAACGAGAAGAAGAAGTTGTGAAATCATTGTAAGTATGTTTATTTCTATTTAAACCCGACAACTTTACTTGTTCAGGGAAAGGCATGTTAGAGTTGTTTACTAGTAAAAACTATGTACACACCTTGGGTTGTGGTGGACAAAATATTGAATAATTGGTTATTTTTATTGTAGATCACTAGCTGCCTGTGAAGGAACACACAAAATATTATTAAAATGCTTCAAAAACAGCTGGATTGAGGGTTTTCAAACTTAAACCACCAAACCAAATCATTCCACCTAACCGTTTTTCATTATGAAGTTCGTGAAAACGATAAAGAAGTTCAAATAAACGTAGCCATTCCCCGAAGAACTTGTGGTCTAGTGGCTAACACGAGTGTTAAATCGATGTTTCGAATCGTGCCAAAACCATTTTTTGTTACGAACTTCGTGAAAGGATGAAGTAAACTAAATAACCATGGTCATCCAGCACAAGACCTTGTGCTCTAGTGTTGAAGACGATGGTCTCCCAAGTGTTAAATCGATGGTTCGAATCCTACCGTAACCGTTTTTCATGGTGAAGTTTGTGAAAAGGATAAATAAATTAAATAACCATAACCGTTCAGCGCAAGATCTTGCAGTCTAGTGGCGAAGACAATCGTCTCCTAAGTGGCAAATTGATGGTTCGAATCCTACCTTAACCGTTTTTCATGATGAACTTTGTGAAAAGGATAAAGTAAATTTAATAACCATAACCGTTCAGCACAAGTCCTTGTGGTCTAGTGGCGAAGACGATGGTCTCTTAAGTGTTAAATCAATGGTTCGAATCCAACCATTACCGTTTTTCATTATGAACTTTGTGAAAACGATAAAGTAGTTCAAATGAATATAGCCACTCCCCGAAGAACTTGCGGTGTAGTGGCTGAGACAATTTTCTTCGAAGTGTTAAATCGATGCTTCGAATCTTGCCAAAACCATTTTTTATTATGAACTTCGTGAAAAGGGTAAAGTAAACTAAATAATCATGGTCATCCAGCACAAGACCTTGCGGTCTAGTGGCGAAGACGATGGTCTCCCAAATGTTAAATTGATGGTTTGAATCCTACCGTAACCGTTTTTCATGATGAACTTCGTGAAAACGATAAATAAATTAAATAACAATAACCGTTCAACGCAAGATCCTGCGGTCTAGTGGCGAAAACAATCGTCTCCCAAGTAGTAAATCGTAGTTCGAATCCTGATATGACCTTTTTTTATTATGAGCTTCGTGAAAAGAATAAAATAAATTAAATAACAGTTGCTGCGCAGCACAAGGCCATGCAGTCTAATGGCTAAGTCAACTGTCTCTTAAGTGGTAAATCGATGTTTCGAATCTTGCCAAAACTATTTTTTATTATGAACTTCGTGAAAGGATAAAGTAAACCAAATAACCATGGTCATCCAGCACAAGACCTTGCGGGCTAGTAAGTAAGTAACCATGGCCAGGAAGTAACCATGGCCTTTCCCCACAAGATCTTGTGGCTAAGACAATTGTCTCCCAAGTGGTAAATCGATGGTTCGAAACCTGCAATGCCCTTTTTCATTATGAACTTCGTGAAAGGATAAAGTAAACTAAATAACCAAGACCATCCATAACAACACCTTGTGCTCTAGTGGCGAAGACAATCGTCTCCCAAGTAGTAAATGGGTGGTTCGATTCCTACCATAACCGTGTTTCATTATGAACTTCGTGAAAACGATAAAGTAGATCAAATAAACGTAGCCATTCCCCGAAGAACTTGTGGTCTAGTGGCTAACACGAGTGTTAAATCGATGTTTCGAATCGTACCTAAACCATTTTTTATTACGAACTTCGTGAAAGGATAAAGTAAACTAAATAACCATAGTCATCCAGCACAAGACCTTGTGCTCTAGTGGTGAAGACGAAGGTCTCCTAAGTGTTAAATCGATTGTTCGAATCCTACCATAACCGTTTTCATTATGAACTTCGTGAAAAGGATAAATAAATTAAATAACCATAACCGTTCAGCACAAGTTCTTGCAGTCTAGTGGCGAAGACAATCATCTCCTAAGTAGTAAATCGATGGTTCGAATCCTGCCATGACCTTTTCATTATGAACTTCGTGAAAAGAATAAAGTAGGCTAAAAAACAATGGCCGTTCAGCACAAGACCTTGCAGACTAGTGGTAAAGACAATTGTGTCCCAAGTGGTATATCGATGGTTCGAATCCTGCTATGACCTTTTTCTTTATGAACTTCGTGAAAAGATAAAGTAAACTAAATAACCATGGTCATCCAGCAAAAGACCTTGCGGTCTAGTGGCGAAGACGATGGTCTCCCAAGTGTTAATTCGATGGTTTGAATCCTACCGTAACCGTTTTCATTATGAACTTCGTGAAACGGATAAATAAATTAAATAACCATAACCGTTCAGCACAAGTTCTTGCAGTCTAGTGGCGAAGACAATCGCCTCCCAAGTAGTAAATGGATGGTTCGAATCCTACCATAACCGTTTTTCATTATGAACTTCGTGAAAACGATGAAGTAGATCGAATAAACCTAGCTATTCCCCCAAGAACTTGTGGACTAGTGGCTAACACGAGTGTTAAATCGATGTTTCGAATCGTGCCAAAACCATTTCTTGTTACGAACTTCGTGAAAGGATAAAGTAAATTAAATACCCATGGTCATCCAGCACAAGACCTTGCGGGCTAGTGGCGAGGACGATGGTCTTCCAA